AAAACAATGCGAAATAACAAAGCATGTAAATATGCAAAACTGCACAGGAAGAACTCTGTGAGGGTCGTAAAAGGCAAGCGTGATAGTGTTGAAAGTCGAATTACATGGGTGGGTCAGTACGACGCAGGCATGGTGCAGTTTCTCACCGAATGCTATACATCTACATGAGACTAACGAATTTCTAACCGTTTCAATTTCAGTGGGTCGCTATGAGATTATAAACGTACAATTCACTGTAAATGACTTTTCGACCATGCTCCTATGTTTCAAACAGACCATCTTTTCTGTCAATGTGAAGCGCAATGACCAGTCGGGATTATAGCACTTTCTGCTAGTTTTCATTCATAAGGTGGATTCCGTATGTGAAGTCAATAATTAACAAGTCTACAGCGCTGTTTAATTTATGCAGCTGCTAATAATAGGTTTCTCAGTCTGTATTTCTTTGATTAAAAATTTAACCGCACAGGTAAATCAAAAGCAGAATAGTGAGAAGCGTATGGCAAATTGAGTTCTAAAGAATTTACCTACTATTTGGGCAAATGACATAAGAAGTTTACTGAAGGTCGTGTAACATCATACAATTCATGAAAAACATTAGAGCATCGATACATTTCACAGCTGCTGCTATTCTGCGATAAGTGCGAAGTACGCTGAAATTATTTCGCCGCGCAGCACTTCGTTGTTATTAATTTATTCACGGAAGCAGAATCTAATCAGCTTTGTTGTTCGCTTCACTAAAGAATACAATAGATATTGGATTAATTAGCACAAAACGAGATTTGGCATTTAATTATGTTGGTGGCTAATTAGCTGCTGAGTCTTCTCCACTGTTATTGATTTTTCATGTACAAAGTGAAGAGGGTCATTTTGTCTTGGAAAAATGCAATTTTTCGATGCTCGTGGTTTTACCGACATAGCTTTCGCTACTCTAATCGGCACTGGCCAGCTTGAAATTAGTACTTGCGAAATTGCAATTAAATTGCTGTTGAAAGAAATTTATGGTCATTTCGAGTTCCTCGAAATATTCGAACGCGTGGATCAACAAATGACTCCAAGGTTTGCGTAACTTTGAATACTACATCTATTAAGGGAAAGAGCGATCTGTTGAGTTCTGTTTTAATTTATGTTTTAAGAAGTTTTCTATTCAAATTAACCTGTACCTGTTTCGACTCAAGTTCATATAACAGGAAATTTTCTTCCATTTCATCGTACAATGACAACGAGAAGGCATGCTTCTTACCCCCTTGTAGATCGAATGCCAAAAGTAACAACCGTTGAGAACCGCAAATGCATTTTTTAAGTCAGTCAATCGACCTCATTACCTTGAAGAAAGGTCATGAAACACGGACTGAAACCTGGATATTGGTCATCACTCATCATGCTGACTATACTGCTTGCGTCTGTATACATAAATTGCGTTTTATGGTGCTTCTAACAAAACAAACGAAATTCTCAATCAACGTACAAATATAAAATAGAGGGAGGCGATGCACCTCTACTTGGCATGAAAACTCAAAGACGGAGTTACACTGATTTTCGTGTTCGTGCAAGAGGCAAGTTTCAGGACTAAGAAAGGAGCCTTCAAAATTCTTTCAGTAGGAAAACGCAACGGAAACAGAAGGAGAGAAAGAAAGTGGAAAATATTTCTTGTAGAGTCAAATGATGCATTGAATCTAGCTGCTTTCAGAAAGATGTAAGGTAACCGATATCAAATATAAATGTCGTTCAAGTAGCCAAGAGTTGCTATTGGTCTAGTCACATAAACCTCTCTGAGAGACTACTCACGCTCCTCGTGATAAAATGAAGCACTCCTCAGTTCACAGATTGTTGAAGAATGAAATAGGGATTCTCTTGCTAAACTGAGGTCCTGAACGTGGAACAGAAGCTTTCGCCGATTACTCGAAATGGTGGTTGCCCGTTACCGGACACTCACGGAGGGAGTGCTCAGCTTCTCTGAAACCTTAAAGCTCTATGATATTTAAGTCGACATCAGCAGTAGTTCATGAGGCTTGGCACAAGCGTTTGACTGCAAATCAATAATTCGCCAAAAAATCCTCAAGAAGAGAAAAGATTGGACGAGAGTCAACCTGCTCATATGAAGTGCCAAAAAGAGCCCAAGTCGGAAGACCATTAAAGGATAGGAAAAAATAAGCCATACCTTGACATACCATGCGCAGAAAAAGTCTCAAAATCGAAAAACATGTGCACACCAGAGAGAAGCTAGTTAATATTTTGGAAAGTCAGCAGCGGATGCAACACTTGCGGTTCAGGTATTAATAAATTTATAAAACATTTCGACGTTTACTGACGCCTGAAGGGCGCACGTTGAGATGTGATGTGAGTCAATTTGGTTGCGGCTAACAATTGGAGGGGACCTAAAATTTACACGGAATTTAACATGGGAACTCCGCCGTTGCCGGCGCCAAGTCCGGATGAGAAACGAGGACGGTTGGAGACCGTGGCAAGTTTCCGTAAAACTCCGTCACTTGCCACTCCTGGCATTGACGCCATCCAAAATTATACCGGTTCGGTCGTCGCCCGGGTTACCAAGGGCCGCGCAGGCTGTGGGCGGACTGAGGCAGACTGCGAAAAGTCGGCGATCAGAACCTGCTCATTGCCCTCTGCCAGAGGGGGCGTGGCAGCACAACGACGGCTGACGAAGACCGACGCAACGACGACGAAGATAAAACTCAGCAACGGAGTCGTAACCCGTTCTGAACGGAGAAGACACACAGCGCGATGCCATTATAGCACGTCAGAAAAGGCTCTACGAGAACGACACCACGAGTGTGAGCTAAAAGTCGAAAATTGGAACATATCTTCACTCAGAGGGAAAGAACAAGAATTAGATGATGAGGCTACGAAGTACCAACTCGACATTGTTGGACTCTCGTCAAAAAACGCCCAGGCTCTGAACTCCTGAACCTCAATGGATGGAAGCTGTTCTACTCAGGCGTCGATATCACGACTCGCGCTCACGCCGGTGTTGGCATTCTCGTAGAACCCAACCTTGCCGATAGAATAATCGATTGGAAGCCTATCAGCGGAAGGGCGGTAATCTTCCGACTGAAGCTACAACAGGCTAAATCGATTACCTTGGTACAGGTCTATGCCGCCAATTTGGAAGGAGAATATGAGACCTTCCTTGAGGAAGTGCTGTGTGCTCTGTCCGAAGTGCCGAATACAGAGTCCCTCATACTCATGGAAGATTTTAATGCGCACATCGGAGTAGACGTTGAAAACTGCAAGGCGTGATTGGGAAAAACGGCCCTAGCGACCTCAACAGTAACGGCATGAAGTTGTTGTGC